CCCCACATCCTGGCAATCCCCCCCCCCCACCGGCATGCACGCACCCAGTGCTGCCCCCAAAACATCTCCCTGCGTCCCCGTGTCTGGCAGGAGGCCGCTTTTTGGAGAGCGCTCCGTTTTTATTTAACGCCTTTCGTTTCTTGGTTCGCAGGCAGGCCCGGTAATCAAGGTGAAGATCCCGAAGGACAGGGACGGCAGGCCCAAGCAGTTTGCGTTTGTGAATTTCAAACATGAAGAATCCGTCCCTTACGGGCTGAGCCTGCTTAACGGGATCAAACTGTACGGAAGGCCCATCAAAATTCAGTTCCGATCAGGTACCTGCAAAGAGAAACGTTAAATAACCCATTTACTACAGAGAAAGCAAAAATGCCGTTGGCGTCCCCCTCCCGGGGGCAGATGTGCGTGTTACCCGTTAAACTGCAGGCGCTTCTCACCGCACGGTCACTCAGCTACTAGGCGGCGTCAAACAGACGTGTGCTTTTGTCCCCGGACTTCAGCCTTTCTGTCAGTTACGGCCGAGCACTTATGGGGTCTTTTGGATTATTCATTCCGTACTCTTGAGCGCAGTCCTAAATTGTTGGGCGAGCCGTGAAAGCGGCTCCCGGTGTCGGTTAAATGGGGCGTGTTGGCCAGAGTATCGCCGCCCGATTGCATCTTCCCCGGCGGGTATTAAGGCGGTTGCGGAGTCTCGTTGGATCACGTGCTTTCGCAAGTCACTGCTAATTAATTGCGTGGAAACTGTTAAGGCCTCACAAGTTTGCTTTGTAGCCAGGCTCCCCTAACGCGTGTTTGTCCATCTCGTGAAACCGTTTGTCTCTCCTCAGGGAGCAGTCACGCGTCTCAAGACGGCAGTCTGTCCGGTTCCCCGCATGGAGCTGCCAACACCAGCCCATCTGGCGTGCCGCATCCGGCGTCAAACTGCAGCAGGTAGGAGTCCTGTCGGCGCGCGCTGGAGGTACGCGGGCGTACTTTGAAGCAAAAGAGAGCGTTCGCCTGCTTCGCTGCCTTCCTGCCTCTCTTTCCAAGCGCGGTGTGGTCTCTCTTCCCTGCGGAATAAGTACTTCCCTTCCCCGCGCCTGCGTTCTCGGTGCCCGAAGCCCAGAAAGCGTAGCATCGTGTTCTGGTGCCAGCATGGAAAAGAGCCGGCAAGGCGAGGTGGGGAGAGTGCTGCCAAACGCGCGAGGCCAGCGCACCCACACCCGTTTCTGACTGCGGTAGCGAGTTCAGGCTGGCGCTTGGGCAGCGGTTTTGTTCGCAATGGGAGAAGCGCGGCTCGGATGCAAACGCCCCTTGGACTGCAGTGGTCTTGTGTTTAGGGCTAAAACGCCTCCTCTTTTTGTCTTCCTGCAGATACGACAGGAGTTCTGACGGTGCGGTAGCGGCGGGATTCGCGGCGGCGCAGAGGTCTCTGCCGCCTGCAGATAACCTTCAGAGACCAGCGGTGGTACGCTGCTCCCTCATGCTAACAGCCTCTGGCCCTGCAGTCGCCCGGGGCTGGCAGGTGGCACCTCACACAGTTGTCCCTAATTTGGCGTACTTGTTCCCTGTAACGATTGCGAGAGATTGCGGGGCTGGGAATATACTTTCGGAGTATTGAAATGACAATCCCAGAGGATTTAGGGCTCTTGCTACCGAGGGTTGGCACCGGGGGGGGCTTTGAGCTTTGGGAGCTCAGCTATAGATGAAGCAGCGGGTAACGGCTACTCTGTAAGTTCACATTTAGTCGCATTTCCCAGCCTAAAACTTTCACGTTCCCCTCTGCTTATAGCGTGACTAACGTGCGATTTTGGGGCTGGCGTTTCTCTGGCCCCTGTGCCCCATCCAAGCGCTCTGCCCAGAAGCGAGCGTGGCAAATCCACCAACCCTTTTCCTCTTCTCTTTCCAGACGAGCAGCGCCATGTGGCAGCCACCTCCGTTCGGGGGGAAGTACGAGCCGCCCGCCTTCGCCCTGCCCGGCTACCCACCGGCTCCTCCTGGCTGTCACCCCCCGCCGTGCCCCCCGCA